GGGATCCCCTATCCCCTTACCTATTTATCATAGTTGCAGAGGTGCTTTCAGCTTTAGTTCAGAACTCCTTGAATGTTGGTGAGTTCAAAGGAATGAAGATTTCGAGGAATGGCTCAATGTTATCCCACCTTCTTTTCGCAGACGACTCCTTGTTTTTTTGTAAGGCTGAGGCTGTGCAAGCAAGCAGAATCATGAATATTCTTGAGCATTACAGATTGTTCACTGGCCAAGCTGTGAATTTGCAGAAGTCAGCTATTTTCTTTAGCAAGAACACCCCTGAGGCTGTTAAACTCTCTATCTGCTCCTCCCTCAGAGGCATTGTTACCCACAGATCTACCAGATACCTTGGGTTACCTCTTGGTATTGGCAGAGCCAAAAAGAGAAGTCTTTGATTACTTGCTGTCTTCTGTCAAAAGCAAATTATTGAGCTGGAAATCCAAATTACTAAGTCCTGCTGGCAAGGAGGTGCTGTTAAAAGCTGTCATCCAAGCATTGCCCACCTTTGCTATGTCCTGCTTTAAGTTGCCTATTACCTTATGCTCTGATATATCAAAAATCTGTGCTCATTTCTGGTGGCAATCTGGTAGTGAAAGTTCTCAGGGCATACATTGGAAGAAATGGAGCATGCTAACTCTTCCAAAGCAGAATGAGGGTTTTGGCTTCCTAGACTTGCAGCTCTTCAATAATGCCCTCATCTACAAACAGTTATGGAGACTTGCAACAAATCCCAATCTCTTGGTAAGCAGAATCTTGAAGGACAGGTACTATCCCCACTCTTCTATTATTTTTGCTGGTAAATCACAAGGAGGGTCCTGGTTGTGGAACTTCTGGATGGATGTAATGCCTTTCTTCTCTAAGTGGTTGAAGATTGAGGTGAGGAGTGGGGCTGACACTAGAATTTCATACCTGAACTGGGTTCCTTCCCTTAATAAGCCAACTCCAAATCTCATTCCTATAGCCAGAGAGCACTTGATTTGGGTAAAAGAACTGATTTTGGCAGATGGGTTTCATTCGAATGATTGGTTGGTCTCTCAAGTTTTTGATGCTGATGACTATAAGGCTATTCTCAAGATCAAATCTCTACATCCAGATAGAGCTGATAGATTTTATTGGGGTTTAGATAAAAAAGGATCTTTCTCAGTTTCTTCCACCTACAAGCACCTCTCTCATCTTAAGTTGTTGAAGGCTGACATTCCAGAAACCAGCTCCAACTCCAAGCAAAACTTAGACATCAAAGGAAGATTTTGGAAGCTGAAAGTTGCTGGTAAAATTAAATTCTTTCTGTGGAAATGTCTTAACAACTCCCTCCCAGTGGCTGTCCTCCTTCAAAGAAAAGGACTGGAGCTTGATTCTATTTGTTCTATCTGTGAGGAAGCTCCAGAAACTATTGAGCATGTCCTTTTTGGCTGTTCAAGAGCTATTAACCTCTGGAAGCACAGTCATGTGAGCTGGGAAGGCCTTAACAGTTGCACTAACTCATTTAGAAACTGGTGGTTCAATATCTGCTCCTTGGATCACTCTGAAGTTGCTGAAGCCCAAATTCAACTCTCAACCTACATGCTTTGGTGGCTTTGGAAATCCAGGAATCTCTGGATCTTCAAAGGGACTCTAATTCCTGAGCATTCTCTGTCCAGCATTGCCCTTGCTGACTGGATGGACTTCATTGCTGCTTCTGCTTAGTTTAGTTTGGTTGTTTGGGTTTTATTTTTCATTTTGGTTTTGCCTTTTCTTGTATTTGTTCCTTTTTAGTAGTTTGGTTTGTATCTAAGTGCTAGGCTTTGTAGCAGTGGTGTTGAGTTGCTTTCCTTAGTTTGCAGCTGTTTAGATTTGCTTGTTGAGGCTCTAGACCACCTTGGGTGGATCTCCCATGTTTTAGTTTCCTTTGAGTTGCTGTTGGACTATTGTATTCGAACTTTGTTCGCCCTGTTTTTTAGTAGTTGAAT